CTTTGATGATTCTTTGATCTTTGTCATAGACAAAGGAGAAAAATATATCAGAGTGCTTATTCAAATTATTTATAAGTAGAATCTATGCTCAAGTTTTCTCATTTGTAGCACCATGAATGAATCTGCTTTGAGTAATTGGAAGTAGAGAAGGATACACTGTCATTTTACCCTATGCCTCGATTGGATAAACTGAAGATCTTGTAGAGATTAAAGATGAAGTGATCATAGAATTCACCATACTATCCTTCACTCGGAGAGGAGAGGAAGAAGAGGGAGGAATCAATGAATAAGGATCCTTGTCGGGAGGATAGGAGGAGAGGGATGTTCACCGAAAGCCAGAGACATCTGAAAGGAAAAAAAACTTTCAAATAGTGAAAATTAGGAAGAAGGCGGGAATACTCAACGGAATAATTGAGCTGAAACATGTAAATATTTCATATTGGAAACTTTGTTAGTTAGTGAGGTTACTGTATATGATGAAGAAAATTCTAATGATTCAGGAAAAACTCCTTTCCATGAGGCAATATTAACGAGCACATAAGTGGAAGTAGATAAAGGGTCTTGAATTATGTAAATTATATATATTTAATATTTGATAGTTTCATTATCCTCTGTATATTTTATCTAGAAAAGCCTTATTGTTAAGCTTTTACTAAATGATGCCCCTAATTGATTTTTACATAGCGATATCTTTTTTTTATCAATTTAATGAAAATATCTTTCCGTATTCCATCCCTTGCCTTCGGTTGTCATCGTTGCCTCTTGCTCCCATCATGAGCAGCGTCTAGTCTCCTCCCTTCCTTTTCTTCTCCTCCTTCTCCCTCTTCTCTCGTCGCTTGTCCTTTCTCATCACCCCTATGCTTGTCCTTTCTTATCACCCCTATGCGTCTAGACAACAACTTTCACTAAGGAGGAGTCAATCATCTCTCCGCTACCATTGCTGTTAGTGCCTTAAGTAAAAATTAATTAGCAATATTAATTGACAAAAGTCTAATATTAAAGATTTTTTTAGGTATCTTTTTGTTGCTTATCCCATCATAAGGCAAATGGATGGAGGATAAAAAATGAATGGGTAAAGTATTGTTAAATCATAGCTCGTATGTTATATACATAACAGATGATCATGTTTATAAAGGAGTACTAGCGAATGTTTTTTTTTAATATATTGATTAACAAAAAAGAAAAAATATTTTTTAAAAAAATAAAAATTCTTCTAATTAAAATAAATCATGGAGCAATTACCTTTTCACATGGTCATTACTTTGTGTTAATTAAGGTTTGATATGTATACTATGTTGATTTTTGACAATCATACCGTATAAAATAAATTTATGAAATATATTTTTATCATAAACTTGTTAAATGAATACGGAACTATTTATGTATGTATCTTCTTGAGTTGGAATATCCATTGTGTTTATATATATATATATATATATATATATATATATA